CATGGTAAACTGGACTTTTCATGGTAAACTGGACTTTCATGGTAAACTGGACTTTCATGGTAAACTGGACTTTCATGGTAAACTGGACTTTCATGGTAAACTGGACTTTCATGGTAAACTGGACTCTCATGGTAAACTGGACTTTCATGGTAAACTGGACTTCTCATGGTAAACTGGACTCTCATGGTAACTGGACTCTTCATGGTAAACTGGACTTTCATGGTAAACTGGACTTTCATGGTAAACTGGACTTTCATGGTAAACTGGACTCTCATGGTAAACTGGATTTTCATGGTAAACTGGACTCTCATGGTAAACTGGACTTTCATGGTAAACTGGACTCTCATGGTAAACTGGACTTTCATGGTAAACTGGACTCTCATGGTAAACTGGACTTTCATGGTAAACTGGACTCTCATGGTAAACTGGATTTTCATGGTAAACTGGACTCTCATGGTAAACTGGACTTTCATGGTAAACTGGACTCTCATGGTAAACTGGACTTTCATGGTAAACTGGACTCTCATGGTAAACTGGACTTTCATGGTAAACTGGACTTTCATGGTAAACTGGACTTTCATGGTAAACTGGACTTTCATGGTAAACTGGACTCTCATGGTAAACTGGACTCTCATGGTAAACTGGACTCTTCATGGTAAACTGGACTTTCATGGTAAACTGGACTCTCATGGTAAACTGGACTTTCATGGTAAACTGGACTCTTCATGGTAAACTGGACTTTCATGGTAAACTGGACTCTCATGGTAAACTGGACTTTCATGGTAAACTGGACTCTCATGGTAAACTGGACTTTCATGGTAAACTGGACTCTTCATGGTAAACTGGACTTTCATGGTAAACTGGACTCTCATGGTAAACTGGACTTTCATGGTAAACTGGACTTTCATGGTAAACTGGACTCTCATGGTAAACTGGACTTTCATGGTAAACTGGACTTTCATGGTAAACTGGACTTTCATGGTAAACTGGACTCTCATGGTAAACTGGACTTTCATGGTAAACTGGACTCTCATGGTAAACTGGATTTTCATGGTAAACTGGACTCTCATGGTAAACTGGACTTTCATGGTAAACTGGACTTCTCATGGTAAACTGGACTTTCATGGTAAACTGGACTCTCATGGTAAACTGGACTTTCATGGTAAACTGGACTTTCATGGTAAACTGGACTTTCATGGTAAACTGGACTTTCATGGTAAACTGGACTTTCATGGTAAACTGGACTTTCATGGTAAACTGGACTTTCATGGTAAACTGGACTTTCATGGTAAACTGGACTTTCATGGTAAACTGGACTTTCATGGTAAACTGGACTTTCATGGTAAACTGGACTCTTCATGGTAAACTGGACTTTCATGGTAAACTGGACTCTCATGGTAAACTGGACTCTCATGGTAAACTGGACTTTCATGGTAAACTGGATTTCATGGTAAACTGGACTCTCATGGTAAACTGGACTTTCATGGTAAACTGGACTTTCATGGTAAACTGGATTTTAATGGTAAACTGGACTCTCATGGTAAACTGGACTTTCATGGTAAACTGGACTCTCATGGTAAACTGGACTTTCATGGTAAACTGGACTTTCATGGTAAACTGGATTCTCATGGTAAACTGGACTTTCATGGTAAACTGGACTCTCATGGTAAACTGGATTTTCATGGTAAACTGGACTCTCATGGTAAACTGGACTTTCATGGTAAACTGGACTTTCATGGTAAACTGGACTTTCATGGTAAACTGGACTTTCATGGTAAACTGGACTCTCATGGTAAACTGGACTCTCATGGTAAACTGGACTCTCATGGTAAACTGGACTTTCATGGTAAACTGGACTTTCATGGTAAACTGGACTTTCATGGTAAACTGGACTTTCATGGTAAACTGGACTCTCATGGTAAACTGGACTCTCATGGTAAACTGGACTTTCATGGTAAACTGGACTCTCATGGTAAACTGGATTTTCATGGTAAACTGGACTTTCATGGTAAACTGGATTTTCATGGTAAACTGGACTCTCATGGTAAACTGGACTTTCATGGTAAACTGGACTCTCATGGTAAACTGGATTTTCATGGTAAACTGGACTCTCATGGTAAACTGGACTTTCATGGTAAACTGGACTCTCATGGTAAACTGGACTTTCATGGTAAACTGGACTCTCATGGTAAACTGGACTTTCATGGTAAACTGGACTCTCATGGTAAACTGGACTTTCATGGTAAACTGGACTCTCATGGTAAACTGGACTTTCATGGTAAACTGGACTTTCATGGTAAACTGGACTCTCATGGTAAACTGGACTTTCATGGTAAACTGGACTTTCATGGTAAACTGGACTTTCATGGTAAACTGGACTCTCATGGTAAACTGGACTTTCATGGTAAACTGGACTTTCATGGTAAACTGGACTCTCATGGTAAACTGGACTTTCATGGTAAACTGGACTCTCATGGTAAACTGGACTTTCATGGTAAACTGGACTTTCATGGTAAACTGGACTTTCATGGTAAACTGGACTCTCATGGTAAACTGGACTTTCATGGTAAACTGGACTTCTCATGGTAAACTGGACTTTCATGGTAAACTGGACTCTCATGGTAAACTGGACTTTCATGGTAAACTGGACTCTCATGGTAAACTGGACTTTCATGGTAAACTGGACTCTCATGGTAAACTGGACTTTCATGGTAAACTGGACTCTCATGGTAAACTGGACTTTCATGGTAAACTGGACTCTCATGGTAAACTGGACTTTCATGGTAAACTGGACTCTCATGGTAAACTGACTTTCATGGTAAACTGGACTCTCATGGTAAACTGGACTTTCATGGTAAACTGGACTTTCATGGTAAACTGGACTTTCATGGTAAACTGGACTCTCATGGTAAACTGGACTTTCATGGTAAACTGGACTCTCATGGTAAACTGGACTTTCATGGTAAACTGGACTCTCATGGTAAACTGGATTTTCATGGTAAACTGGACTCTCATGGTAAACTGGACTTTCATGGTAAACTGGACTCTCATGGTAAACTGGACTTTCATGGTAAACTGGACTTTCATGGTAAACTGGACTTTCATGGTAAACTGGACTCTCATGGTAAACTGGACTCTCATGGTAAACTGGACTCTCATGGTAAACTGGACTTTCATGGTAAACTGGACTTTCATGGTAAACTGGACTCTCATGGTAAACTGGACTCTCATGGTAAACTGGACTCTCATGGTAAACTGGACCTTCATGGTAAACTGGACTTTCATGGTAAACTGGACTTTCATGGTAAACTGGACTTTCATGGTAAACTGGACTCTCATGGTAAACTGGACTTTCATGGTAAACTGGACTCTCATGGTAAACTGGACTTTCATGGTAAACTGGACTCTCATGGTAAACTGGACTTTCATGGTAAACTGGACTCTCATGGTAAACTGGACTTTCATGGTAAACTGGACTTTCATGGTAAACTGGACTTTCATGGTAAACTGGACTCTCATGGTAAACTGGACTTTCATGGTAAACTGGACTTTCATGGTAAACTGGACTTTCATGGTAAACTGGACTCTCATGGTAAACTGGATTTTCATGGTAAACTGGACTCTCATGGTAAACTGGACTTTCATGGTAAACTGGACTCTCATGGTAAACTGGACTTTCATGGTAAACTGGACTCTCATGGTAAACTGGACTCTCATGGTAAACTGGACTCTCATGGTGAACTGACTCTCATGGTAAACTGGACTTTCATGGTAAACTGGACTCTCATGGTAAACTGGACTCTCATGGTAAACTGGACTTTCATGGTAAACTGGACTCTCATGGTAAACTGGACTTTCATGGTAAACTGGACTCTCATGGTAAACTGGACTCTCATGGTAAACTGGACTCTCATGGTAAACTGGACTTTCATGGTAAACTGACTCTCATGGTAAACTGGACTTTCATGGTAAACTGGACTCTCATGGTAAACTGGACTCTCATGGTAAACTGGACTCTCATGGTAAACTGGACTCTCATGGTAAACTGGAATCGTAACAAAGACAGACGACAGCGCATTATCTCCCCCGTTCTGCGGAAGTGAAACGCAGTGCAGCCTCACGTGTGGCGTCACACAACTGCGTCTGGCGTTGCCTGTGATTTGTTTTACCCTGGGTTCGCCCCCCCCCCCCCCCCCCCGCCAACATTGCCCCTGCTCACCTGGAGTCCAACTTGTCCTGTGGTTGACGGTGTCCGCGCCACGTGGCGGTAGAGCGAGCGGCCCGTGACCCCAAACGTTGCTTCTGTCACGAGCCCTCTTGAAGGCCTCGTCTCGTCAGCCATTCACGCGAGTTCAAATCCAGGGTGTGGGTGGTTGACTCAGCCAATCGTCATCCCTCTCTCTCCGGGGGTCGATAAAACGAGTATCGCTTTGTTCTGGAAAGTCAATAGCGGGTTTCCACTGGATAGACTCGCCTCCGGCATAGGAATATGGAAAGTCCATCACTGGCTCTGCAGAGTTGCCAACTGGCATAAGCACTGCTACACATTTGAACTCGTCCTATGGATAGACTCCGGATTAGATAAAACTAGTACCACTTTGTGCGTAAGTCAACAGTAGCTGTCTGTCCTATAGAGAGAGACTCGCCCTCCGCCATAGTAACGTGGAATTTCCACCACTGGCTCTGTGCAGAGTTGTGAACAGGAGATGAGCACCGATGCCTCCATGTTCATCGAAGCAGGAGATCACTCCCCCTTAATGTGTGGCACCACGTGTCCGGTGATGTTTGGATGACGTGTGTCATCACGTGTCCAGTGATGTTTGGATGACGTGTGTCATCACGTGTCCAGTGATGTTTGGATGACGTGTGGCATCACGTGTCCAGTGATGTTTGGATGATGTGTGAGATCATGTGTCCAGTGATGTTTGGATGACGTGTGTCATCACGTGTCCAGTGATGTTTGGATGACGTGTGGCATCGCGTGTCCGGCTGCTGTGCAGAGGAGGACTCTGAAAAATGGCACCACCACCGCGTGCTATTTCGGAACGATTCACACGGACGCCACTCTGCTGCTGTGCGACATTGCGGGTAACGACGTCCTTCATCAGCAGCCTTCACCGTGATCATGCAGCAGCAATCACCTCACATTACCTGACCTCTCATCTATCCCCTCACCATTCACCTCACCCCACCTGCGTCCCCTCGTCGGGGCCAGACCGGGCGGGCCAGCGCGCGATGGTGGGCAAGGTGTGCATGGACCACAACGAGGCGGTCCCCGCCTACAAAGAGACCAGCGACGAGGCCGTGCGGGACACCGAGAGGTCAGCAGGGGTCACCACAACCACGGCACAACCACAGTATCCATAGCAACCGCGACGGTCCCATCAACCACAACACAACCACATCCATAGCAACGGCTACGGTCCCTTCAACCACAACATCCACAACCGCTATGGGCCTCAACAACAAAAACCACCACCAACCACCACAAGCATCCACACCACCATCACCACCACCATCACAAAGCATCCACACCACCATCACCATCATCACCACCACCACCACCACAAGCTTCCACACCACCACCACAAGCATCCACACCACCATCACCACCACCACCACAAGCTTCCACACCACCACCACAATCATCCACACCACCATCACCACCACAAGCATCCACACCACCATCACCATCACCACCACAAGCATCCACAACCACCATCACCATCACCACCACAAGCATCCACACCACCATCACCACAAGCATCCACACCACCATCCCCACCACCACCACAAGCATCCACACCACCATCACCATCACCACCACCACAAGCATCCACACCACCATCACCACTACAAGCATCCACACCACCACCACCACCACAAGTATCCACACCACCATCACCACCACCACAAGTATCCACACCACCATCACCACCACCACAAGTATCCACACCACCATCACCATCACCACCACAAGCATCCACACCACCATCACCACCACAAGCATCCACGCCACCATCACCACCACCACCACAAGCATCCACACCACCATCACCACCACCACAAGCATCCACACCATCACCACCATCACCATCACCACAAGCATCCACACCAGCATCACCACCACAACCATCCACACCACCATCACCACAAGCATCCACACCACCATCACCATCACCACCACCACAAGCATCTACACCAGCATCACCACCACCACCACAAGCATCCACACCAGCATCACCACCACCACCACAAGCATCCACACCAGCACCACCACCACAAGCATCCACACCAGCATCACCACCACCACCACAACCATCCACACCAGCATCACCACCACCACAACCATCCACACCAGCATCACCACCACCACCACAACCATCCACACCAGCATCACCACCACCACCACAACCATCTACACCACCACCACCACCGTCACAATCCTGTTCATCTCCACTCTTCATAGTCTCCCTCTCTTCTCTTGTAGGTTCATAATGGCCGTCAAGGACATGAAGGTAGGTGTGTGTGCGTGTGTGTGTCTTAACGTGCACATAGCTTGGCACAGGCGCCGCGGTGACGTCACCGCCACTTAGTGGCAAATGGCGGTAGTTGTCTGTGTGTTTGTTTTGTGTGTGTCTTTCTATGTGTGTCTGTATCTATCATTGTGTGTCTGTCTGTATGTGTGTCTGTATCTGTGATTGTGTGTCTGTCTGTGTTTGTGTCTATGTGTGTCTGTGTGTGTATCTGTCATTGTGTGTCTGTCTGTGTGTTGTGTTGTAGGGAGCGATAGTGTAGCGGTTAGCGCGCTGCGCTATGAACCTAGCGACCCGGGTTCGATTCCCGCTCAGGGCCAACACCAGTGACGATTATCTGAACCGGTCCCGGGCCTCCACTAGGTCGACTCAGCCTCAAATGAGTACCTGGTGCGGTGTGTAAACATCGCCACTAGGGAGACAAAGGCGGTCGGGCGTGGTGCTGGCCACCCACCCCCTCGTGTACCGTTCCGGCCTTCATAGGTGCTCGCTAACAGCACTTGCCCCTACAGTCTGTTAAGGTTATATGGGGGATCTTTTTTGTGTCTATGTGTATCTGTCACTGTGTGTATCTGTCACTGTGTGTATCTGTCATTGTGTGTCTGTCTGTGTTTGTGTCTGTGTGTATCTGTCATTGTGTGTGTCTGTGTGTGTATCTGTAAAATCTAAGGTGGCCTGGTCTCAGCTAGCTGATGAAAGTTGCAAGCTAGAATTTCATCATCGCTTGCGGCTGGGGTTGGCATCGTTCCCCACTCCACCAGATGTCGAGGTTAAATGGGTGAGGTTTAGGACTGTGACTCATGCAGCTGCAATGGATGCTTTGGGTACACGGTCCAGACCTCCTCAGAGACCCTGGCTGACAGAGGAAGTGTCCAAGCTGACTGAGAAATAGCGACAGGTCCACTTTAATCGTCTACAGCATCCCACGTCAGAGAATAAGGAGGTTTACCGCAGCCTTCGCTCGGAGGTTCGGAGAGCCGTGAGGCGCTGCAAGGATGGGTGGTGGTCGCGGATTGCTGAGGAGATGGAGTCTGCCTCAATGGCCCGCGATCACAAATCCCTATTTAACTCCATCAAAAAATGTACCTGCAGTGCCACACCTGTTACCATAATTAGGGTAAAGAACGGTGATCCAATCTCCGACCCCCAGGAACAGGCTTGCAGATTTGCTGAGCATTCTGTGAAGTCCTGGGGGAGGGGAAATCCCTAGACATGGAAAACATCGTGGGACAATGTGGGGATGACCCTGCTGAGGCTGCGAGCATTCTGTGAAGTCCTGGGGGAGGGGAAATCCCTAGACATGGAAAACATCGTGGGACAATGTGGGGATGACCCTGCTGAGGCTGCGGTGCCTCAAATATTGGAAGGAGTCACCCCCTGTGAGTTGCTGGCTGAGGTGCCATCAGATGAGGAAGTGCTAAAGGCGATCCAGAGTCTGAGACCAGGAAAGGCACCGGGCAGAGATGATCTCCCAAGCGAAATTCTGAGGGAGGGTGGCGTTTGTGCACAGACTGTCCTACATGACATCATAACATCAGTCTGGACCACTGGACAGGTTCCGCAGGATTGGAAGGATGCCCTTGTAGTTCCCCTCTTTAAGAAGGGGAACCGCACAGACTGTAATAACTACAGGGGCATCTCACTCCTCAGTGTACCGGGAAAGGTCCTGGCTAGGATAATTCAACATCGCCTTGCCAGGCACGCTGAGGATAGGCTTGCGGAGCCCAATGCGGTTTGTAGTTCCCCTCTTTAAGAAGGGGAACCGCACAGACTGTAATAACTACAGGGGCATCTCACTCCTCAGTGTACCGGGAAAGGTCCTGGCTAGGATAATTCAACATCGCCTTGCCAGGCACGCTGAGGATAGGCTTGCGGAGCCCAATGCGGTTTCAGGAAAGGGTGGTCCTGCACAGATGCCATATTTTCTGTCCGTTTGCTACTGCAGAGGTGTAGGGAATTCCAACAAGACCTACATCTCTGCTTTATTGACCTGGTCAAGGCCTATGATACCATCAGTAGGCCTGGGCCCTGTGTTGTTCTTCGTGCTTTCGGAGTTCCTGACCCTCTGCTCACGATCATTAAGGACCTTCATGATGGTGAGCGGGCCCGGGTAAAACTACGTGGCCGGGAGTCGGAGCCATTCCCTGTTCACCTTGGGGTGCGACAGGGATGTCCTCTGGCTCCAACATTATTTAACATATTTTTCGCCCACGTAGTTCGTGAACCCTTTGATGGCTGTAACAGAGAAATTTACATCTGGTACAGATACAATGGGAGGCTGATCGATGCCCGGGTGCAGTCATTGGATGGCTCCCTATTGGTCAACCACGTTATATATGCCAATGATCTGGTAATTGCCGCTCACTCAGAGGAGGAGTTGGAGGCGCTGCTGCTGAAACTGGAGCGTGCCACTAAGAGGTGTGGCCTTACCATCAGCCCCACCAAAACTAAGCACCTGCCTGGGTATTTTGTACCATCTGGCACTCCACCCCCACAACTCCAAATCGGTGATGGGGCAGTTGTGGAGAGAGTGGAGAGTTTCCCATACCTGGGAAGTGTGCTCATGACCGGCTCTGGTTTGACAACAGAGGTCTCACTCAGAATCAGTCGGGCGGCATTATCTTTTCATCGGTTGCATAACGCTGTGTGGAAGCTACCTGGTCTGTCGCTCTGCACCAAGCTTCAAGCCTTCTCGGCCACGGTCATTCCCTCCCTTCTCTATGCTTGCGAAACGTGGACCCCCCGAATGGAGCATCTTCGCCGATTGGAAACATTTCGGCTGGCCTGCCCACGATCCATCCTGGGTTTAAACAGGCTGGATTGTGTGAGGAGCTCACAAATCTTTAAAATATCTTGGCAAAGTCCCATCGGTGAGTTCCTCTGGCAGGCAAGGCTGCGTTGGCTGGGTCATGCTGCCCGCATGCCCAGTCACCGCATGCCTTAACAGCTTTTGCTTGGCAGGATAGAGGGGGCTAAACGGGCGCGGCACGGGCTAGAGAAGAGATGGAGTGATGTGGTACAGGAGGACGTGGAGCTGAGTGGACTTGCCGATGACTGGTACCAGCGGTGTCAAGATTGGCCTCTGTGGAGGAGGCTCGTGAAGGACGCTACTGGGCAGTTGGAAGCAGTCGCCCTCCAACAACGGAGGGCGGAGGAGCGACGCTCACAACAACGAGCGGAGCGCCGGGTGGCTAAAGCACAGCAAGTTGGCACAGTAGGGGGTACAGGTGGTGCATCAGCCAATCATCTCAGTCAGTCGACCCGTGGCACCTGGGACTGCCCCGTAACCTCCTGCCAGCGGGCGTGCGACACTTCACGTCGCCTCAAGGTGCACATAGCCTGGCACAAGCGTCGTGGTGACGTCACCGCCACTTAGTGGTGAATGCCGGTTGTTGTTGTTGTATCTGTCTATGTGTATCTGTCTGTGTTTGTGTCTGTGTGTGTATCTGTCTGTGTGTATCTGTCTGTGTTTGTGTCTGTGTGTGTATCTGTCTCTGTGTATCTGTCTGTGTGTGTGTCTGTGTGTGTGTCTGTCTGTGTTTGTGTCTGTGTGTGTATCTGTCTCTGTGTATCTGTCTGTGTTTGTGTCTGTGTGTGTATCTGTCTCTGTGTATCTGTCTATGTGTATCTGTCTGTGTTTGTGTCTGTGTGTGTATCTGTCTATGTGTATCTGTCTGTGTGTGTCTGTGTGTGTATCTGTCTGTGTTTGTGCCTGTGTGTCTATCTGTCTCTGTGTATCTGTCTGTGTTTGTGTCTGTGTGTGTATCTGTCTGTGTGTATCTGTCTATGTGTATCTGTCTGTGTTTGTGTCTGTGTGTGTATCTGTCTGTGTGTGTATCTGTCTGTGTTTGTGTCTGTGTGTATCTGTCTATGTGTATCTGTCTGTGTGTGTATCTGTCTACGTGTATCTGTCTGTGTTTGTGTCTGTGTGTGTATCTGTCTATGTGTATCTGTCTGTGTGTGTATCTGTCTGTGTGTGTATCTGTCTGTGTGTATCTGTCTGTGTGTATCTGTCTGTGTGTACAGGCACCAACAATCTGTTAAGGCTATACGGGGGACATTTGTTGTTTGTACAGGGCACTTTGAGACATTAGTGTTATTATAATAATAGTTGTTATGATACTATTTATTATAATAATAGTTACGATATTAGTGTTATTATAATAATAGTGGTTATTATTTCAGGCTGTCCTTGTGGGGAGCGGTGGCTCGCGCTGCGCTATGAACCCGGCGACGCGGCGAGTTCGATACCCCCCGCTCACGGCCAACACCGGTGACGATGATCTAAACCCGTCACGGGCCTCCCCTAGGTCGACTCGGACTCAAACCAGTGCCTGGTGGGGAGTACAAACCTCGCCGCTGGGGAGACAAAGGCGGTCGGGCGTGGGGCCACCCCCCCCCCTCGTGTGCCGTGCCGGCCTTCCCGGGTGCTACTCGCTCACAGCACTTGCCCCAACAGTCTCTCACGGCTACCCGGGGGACCTTTGTCTTGTGTGCGTGTGCGCGGCGTGGTCAGTACGAGCGCGTGCACCCCGTGGTGACGCCGCGCTTCGCCCTCTCGTGCACGCGCGAGACGATGCGCGCGCTCGGGGAGACGGCGCGCGGCACGGGCACCCGCATACAGGTGGCACTCACTCCTCACCGCGTCATTCCTCACCGCGTCACTCCTCACCGCGTCACTCACCACACTCCTCACCGCGTCACTCCTCACACTCCTCACCCGCATACAGGTGGCACTCCTCACCACGTCACTCCTCACCGCGTCACTCACCACACTCCTCACCGCGTCACTCCTCACCGCGTCACCCCTCACCCACATACAGGTGGCACTCACTCCTCACCGCGTCACTCACCACACGCCTCACCCTCATACAGGTGGCACTCACTCCTCACCGCGTCACTCACCACACGCCTCACCCTCATACAGGTGGCACTCACTCCTCGCCGCGTCACTCACCACACTCCTCACCCGCGTCACTCACCACACTCCTCACCCGCGTCACTCACCACACTCCTCACCTGCATACAGGTGGCACTCACTCCTCACCGCGTCACTCACCACACTCCTCACCCGCGTCACTCACCACACTCCTCAATCGCATTCAGGTGGTACTCACCCCTCACCCGCGTCACTCACCACACTCCTCACCCGCATCACTCACCACACTCCTCACCCTCATTCAGGTGGCACTCACTCCTCACCCGCGTCACTCACCACACTCCTCACCCGCGTCACTCACCACATTCCTCACCCTCATACAGGTGGCACTCACTCCTCACCCGCGGCACTCCTCACCCGCGTCACTCCTCACTCTCATACAGGTGGCACTCACTCGTCACCCGCGTCACTCCTCACCGCGTCACTCACCACATTCCTCACCCTCATACAGGTGGCACTCACTCCTCACCCGCGGCACTCCTCACCCGCGTCACTCCTCACTCTCATACAGGTGGCACTCACTCGTCACCCGCGTCACTCCTCACCGCGTCACTCACCACACTCCTCACCCGCATACAGGTGGCAGTCACTCCTCAACCGCGTCACTCACCACACTCCTCACCCGCGTCACTCCTCACACTCCTCACCATCATACAGGTGGCTCTCACTCCTCACCGCGTCACTCACCACACTCCTCACCCTCATACAGGTGGCACTCACTCCTCACCCGCGTCACTCCTCACCGCGTCACTTACCACACTCCTCACCCTCATACAAGTGGCACACACTCCTCACCGCGTCACTCCTCACCCGCGTCACTTACCACACTCCTCACCCTCATACAGGTGGCACTCACTCCTCACCGCGTCACTCCTCACCCGCATACAGGTGGCACTCCTCACCGCGTCACTCCTCACCGCGTCACTCCTCACCCGCGTCACTTACCACACTCCTCACCCTCATACAGGTGGCTCTCACTCCTCCCCCGCGTCACTCCTCACCACGTCACTCCTCACCGTGTCACTCCTCACCCGCATACAGGTGGCTCTCACTCCCCACCCGGGTCACTCCTCACCCGCGTCACTCCTCACCCGCATACAGGTGGCACTCACTCCTCACCGCGTCACTCCTCACCGTGTCACTCCTCACCCGCATACAGGTGGCTCTCACTCCCCACCGCGTCACTCCTCTCCGCGTCACTCCTCACCCGCGTCACTCCTCACCCGCATACAGGTGGCTCTCACTCCTCACCCGCGTCACTCCTCACCCGCGTCACTCCTCACCCGCGTCACTCCTCACCCGCGTCACTCACCACACTCCTCACCCGCATACAGGTGGCTCTCACTCCTCACCCGCATACAGGTGGCATTCACTCCTCACCGCGTCACTCCTCACCGCGTCACTCCTCACCGCGTCACTCACCACACTCCTCACCCGCGTCACTTGCCACACTCCTCACCCGCATACAGGTGGCTCTCACTCCTCACCCGCGGCACTCACCACACTCCTCACCCGGGTCACTCACCCGCGTCACTCACTCCTCACCCGCGTCACTCACCACACTCCTCATCCGCGTCACTCCTCACCCGCGTCACTCACCACACTCCTCACCCGCGTCACTCACTCCTCACCCGCGTCACTCACCACACTCCTCACCCGCGTCACTCGCCACACTCCTCACCCGCGTCACTCACCACACTCCTCACCCGCGTCACTCGCCACACTCCTCACCCACGTCACTCACTCCTCACCCGCGTCACTCACCACACTCCTCACTCACCCACCACACTCCTCACCCGCGTCACTCACCACACTCCTCACTCACCCACCACACTCCTCACCCGCGTCACTCACCACACTCCTCACTCACCCACCACACTCCTCACCCGCGTCACTCACCACACTCCTCACTCACCCACCACACGGACGAGCTGCCCCCTCACCGCTCACCCCCAGGTGCCGCTTCCATGCTGACTCCGATATTCATATCGTGCCGCTGCTGCTGCTGATCATCATCACATTGAGATGGAGTCGCTGCCGCTTGTGATGATATGGTGGTGGTGGTGTTGCTGAAGTTGAGATCAGTGCTGCTGCTGGTGATGATAATGGTGGCGATGATGTTGGGTGCAGAGTCACATCAGTGAGTCCCTCGAGGAGGTGGAGCTGGTGAGGACTCTCTTCCCCGAGTCCGAGAACTACACGGAGGTGTACCGGAGCAGCGGCCTCCTCACAGACAAGGTGCGCACACAAGGCGTGTGCGTGTACACGTGTGTGTGTGTGAGTACACGTGTGTGTGTGTGAGTACACGTGTGTGTGTGTGAGTACACGTGTGTGTGTGTGAGTACACGTGTGTGTGTGTGAGTACACGTGTGTGTGTGTGAGTACACGTGTGTGTGTGTGTGTGAGTACACGTGTGTGTGTGTGTGAGTACACGTGTGTGTGTGTGTGAGTACACGTGTGTGTGTGAGTACACGTGTGTGTGTGTGAGTACACGTGTGTGTGTGTGTGTACACGTGTGTGTGTGTGTGTACACGTGTGTGTGTGTGTGTACACGTGTGTGTGTGTGTGTGAGTACACGTGTGTGTGTTGTGTGTGAGTACACGTGTGTGTGTTGTGTGTGAGTACACGTGTGTGTGTGTGTGAGTACACGTGTGTGTGTGTGTGAGTACACGTGTGTGTGTGAGTACACGTGTGTGTGTGTACACGTGTGTGTGTGTGTACACGTGTGTGTGTGTGTGAGTACACGTGTGTGTGTGTGAGTACACGTGTGTGTGTGTGAGTACACGTGTGTGTGTGTGAGTACGTGTGTGTGTGAGTACACGTGTGTGTGTGAGTACACGTGTGTGTGTGTGAGTACATGTGTGTGTGTGTGAGTACATGTGTGTGTGAGAGTACACGTGTGTGTGTGAGAGTACACGTGTGTGTGTGTGAGTACACGTGTGTGTGTGTGTGAGTACACATGTGTGTGTGTGAGTACACGTGTGTGTGTGAGTACATGTGTGTGTGTGTGAGTACATGTGTGTGTATGAGTACACGTGTGTGTATGAGTACACGTGTGTGTGTGAGTACATGTGTGTGTGTGAGTACACGTGTGTGTGTGTGAGTACATGTGTGTGTGAGTACACGTGTGTGTGTGTGAGTACACGTGTGTGTGTGAGTACACGTGTGTGTGTGTGAGTACACGTGTGTGTGTGTGAGTACGTGTGTGTGTGAGTACACGTGTGTGTGTGTGTGAGTACACGTGTGTGTGTGTGAGTACATGTGTGTGTGAGAGTACACGTGTGTGTGTGTGAGTACACGTGTGTGTGTGTGAGTACACATGTGTGTGTGTGAGTACACGTGTGTGTGTGAGTACATGTGTGTGTGTGTGAGTACATGTGTGTGTATGAGTACACGTGTGTGTGTGTGAGTACATGTGTGTGTGTGAGTACACGTGTGTGAGTACATGTGTGTGTAAGTACACGTGTGTGTGTGTGAGTACACGTGTGTGTGTGAGTACACGTGTGTGGGTGTGAGTACACGTGTGTGTGTGTGTGTACACGTGTGTGTGTGTGAGTACATGTGTGTGTGTGAGTACACGTGTGTGTGTGTGTGAGTACACGTGTGTGAGTACACGTGTGTGCGTGTACACGTGTGTGTGTGTACACGTGTGTGTGTGTACACGTGTGTGTGTGAGTACACGTGTGTGTGTGTGTGAGTACATGTGTGTGTGTGAGTACACGTGTGTGTGTGTGTGCACGTGTGTGTGTGTGAGTACATGTGTGTGTGAGTACATGTGTGTGTGTGTGAGTACACGTGTGTGTGAGTGTGTGTGTACACGTGTGTGTGTGAGTACACGTGTGTGTATGTACGTGTGTGCGTGTGTGAGTACACGTGTGTGAGTACACGTGTGTGAGTACGCGTGTGTGAGTACACGTGTGTGTGAGTACACGTGTGTGTGAGTACACGTGTGTGTGTGTACACGTGTGTGGGGAGCGGTAGTGACGGTCATCTGAGCCGGTCCTGAGCCTTCCCTCGGTCGACTAAGTCTCAAATGAGTACCTGGTGTGGGGTGTAAACATCGCCACTAGGGAGACAAAGGCGGTCGGGCGTGGTGCTGGCCACTCACCCCCTCGTGTGCCGTGCCGGCCTTCGTAGGTGCTGCTCGCTAATAGCGCTGGCCCCCGACAGTGTGCTGTTGAAGGCTACACGGGGAATCTTTGTCTTTGCCTTGTGCAGACGGTGATGGCGCACGGAGTCCACCTGGGCGAGGTGGAGCTGCGCCTGTTCCATGAGGCGGGAGCCAGCATCTCGCACTGTCCCCTCTCCAATGCCGCGTGAGCCATCACCCACTCACTCACTCACACACTCACTCACTCACCCACTCACTCACTCACCCACTCACTCACTCACCCACTTACTCACCCACTCACCCGTACACTCACTCACCCACTCACCCACTCACTCACTCGTACACTCTCTCACCCACTCACTCACTCGTACACTCACTCACCCACTCACTCACCCACTCATTCACTCACCTACTCACTCGTACACTCACTCACCCACTTACTCACTCGTACACTCACTCACTACACTCATTCACGTATACACTCACTCGCTCAGTCGTACACTCACCCACTCCCCTGCTCACTAATATAATCACCCATTTACTTCCAATTTGCTCACTAAGAAAAAAATACTCAATTGGGATTCCACACAGGAGCGATCATTGACGCCCTACTGCCACACTAAGGCGCACTCACTCACCTTGCTGCCTGACCACAAACTCACCAAGTTACTCACCCACCCACCGAATTACTAATTCACCCCACATTGTTACTAACCTAACAGATACTCACCTGCTTACTAACCAATGCTCACTCACCCACCCAGCCACTCACCCAGCCAGCCACTCACTCACTCAGCCACTCACCTAGCCAGGCATTCACCCACTCAGCTACTACTCACCCATCAATCCACTCCCCACCCAGAACCTTACTCACTCAGAGAGCCACTCTCACCCACCCAGCCAGTCACCCATCCAGCTACTTACTCACCCACCCAGCAGGCCACTCAACCACCCAGCCAATTCAACCACCCACCCGGCCACTCACCTACCCAGCCACTCACCCACCCACCCAGCCACTCACCCACCCAGCCACTCACCCACCCAGCCACTCACCCACCCAGCCACTCACCCACCCACCCACACACCCACCCACCCACTCACCCACCCACCCACCCACTCACCCACCCACCCGGCCACTCACCCACCCACTCATCCACCCACCCACTCGGCCACTCACCCACTCTCCCACCCACCCACCCGGCCACTCACCCACTCTCCCACCCACCCACCCGGCCACTCACCCACTCTCCCACCCACCCACCCGGCCACTCACCCACTCTCCCACCCACCCACCCGGCCACTCACCCACTCTCCCACCCACCCACCCGGCCACTCACCCACTCTCCCACCCACCCACCCGGCCACTCACCCACCCACCCACTCACCCACCCACCCGGCCACTCACCCACCCACCCGGCCACTCACCCACCCACCCGGCCACTCACCCACCCACCCAGCCACCCACCCACCCGGCCACCCGCCCACCCGGCCACTCGCCCACCCGGCCACTCACCCACCCATCACAAGTCTTTAAAAATAACAGCTTTCACAAAAAGACTAGGGTTGTAAAATTGTAAGCTGTAAAACGGTAACCGTTTGGGAATCGGTTACCGGTTCCGGAAGTCAGGAGCATTTGCCAGTGGTGAAGCGAGATCCATGAGCTCGCCAGACGCGCAAACCGCACTCGTGGCGTTTGCGACTCGGTTACAGCAACGTGACCTCACGGTTATCGGCCACATTTACCGGTTACTGGTTTTTGGTAACCGTTTTTTTGGTAACCGGTCTTTGGTAGCCAGTTTTTGGAAACTAGTTTTTGGAAACCGGTTTTTGGTAACTGGGTTTTGGAAACTGGTTTTTGGAAAACCGGTTTTTGGTAACTGGTTTTTGGAAATCGGTTTTTGGTAACTGGGTTTTCACAACGACCGTGATTTGTATCTCTGGTTCCCAACGCCTGTCCCTCCCCTCCCCTCTGACTGGACTGTGAACCCCCCATCCTCCACCCCCACCTCCCATTCTCCACCCCACCTCCTATTCTCCACCCCACCTCCCATTCTCCACCCCACCTCCCACCCCCTACTCTCCACCCCCCATCCTCCACCCCACCCTCCACCCCACCCCCCACTCTCCACCCCCCATCCTCCACCCTACCCTCCACCCCACCCCCTACCCTCAACCACCACCCCCATTCTCCACCCCACCCCCCACTCTCCACCCCCACCCCCCATCCTCCACCCCCACCCCCCATTCTCCACCCCACCCCCCACTCTCCACCCCCACCCCCATCCTCCACCCCCACCCCCCATCCTCCATCCCCACCCCACATCCTCCACCCCCCAGGTTGTGTAGCGGCACGATGGACGCGCAGGCGGTGCTGAGTCACGGGGTGAAGCTGGGCCTGGGCACAGGCACGTTTAGTTCAGTTTCAGTTTCAGTTTATTTATTTTGGTATAGCCCTGTGAGCCATTCGGCTCTTGAATCGGGTGCAACCGCAACAAACAAAAAACACGAACAAGAAAAACATCTTAAAGTGACTATGTGACTGTGCAAACAGAAAATACATGGGACAAAAACAGCAAAAATATTCCTGAAAAAAGCACCATACACCAACGCTGTGTGCAAAAAATCCCAGTGGGATGCAAGTCAAACAACAACAACAAGAAAACTTAAATTAAGGCCATCAGTCTAACTCCGTACTACAACAAAACAAACATGTCCATACCAAAAAACGTTTCCAAATCACCAAAAAATAAAGCCATAATTGCAACGTAACAGTGATCACAAGGACTGTGACCGAATGTTTACAATAAACTACATTAATAACATGTAACACCAAATCCTAGAGCCATAGCTGGCTGCATGAGTTACTCCACAACAACAGAAGCATCGGTCGGAGTATCAAATTTTTCCAAGCACCTTTAAGATCAGCATGCTAAATCAAAATACAGATAATACTTTGCAGGGTCATCCGGAGCGAAACATTTTATTTTATTTTACGCCAATCAATAGCAGTGGCAACTAGGAGTGTACAACTCCTCTAGAGCAGTTTTGAGATAACTCATTGGTAGCGATTCAAGTTGCAGTTTATTGGCAATAGCATTCCAGACTCTGGGGGCATCAATAGCAAAGGCCTTTCCTCCAGTTTTTGTACGGCAATAGGGAATGTGAAGCTGGTAAATGAGCGAAGACCTGAGGTTAAATTTGTTCTTTGAAACAGAGAGGAGATCCAGCAGGTAGTCTGCGGATTTTTTGTCAGTACATCGTGAAAAGATCTGGTGCACAAGCCGTCGGACATTAAGAGATGTTAAGTTTGACCCAATGTAGAGATCACAGTGATGAGTTCTATATGGGCAGTTCAATGTCAATCTTAAGGCCGAGTGATAGATAGAATCAAGCTTCTTCAGTACAGTACTTGGGGTTGATTTATACACGATGTCACAGTAGTCAAGTAGAGGCAGTATGGTAGCTTTTATCAATTCCAAACGGAACATTGGGGGGAAGCAGTGCTTGTGTTCATACAGAAAACCAATTTTTATTTTTGTCTTTTTACCAATATAATCAATGTGATCTTCAAAATTCAGTTTTGAATCCAGGATGACCCCAAGATACTTATAGATCTTGACTTGCTCTATTTGACAATTATTAAAGGAATGTAATTGGGGAAAAATAACTTCCTGCTTTAGTCCTGGTGAGAAGCATAGCACCTTGGTTTTGGAGGTATTCAGGACTAGTTTAAGAGCAACTTGCTGATGTTGTAGTTTGTTGAAATCACCCTGGAGCTTAGCAATCACGTCATCCGGAGAGCGGCCAGCAGTAATCAGTATCGTGTCATCTGCAAAAAGATTTATCCTGGAATGATCCAGGTCAGTGCCCAAGTCATTGACATAGAGAGAGAACAAAAGGGGGCCGAGGATGGAACCCTGTGGAACCCCTTTTGTTATCTTAACACTGTTTGACCTCCAACCATCTGTGAATAGTTTGGGTGCGAGAAAAGAGGTAATTTTGTAACCATTTACTGCGTGGCCTCGTTCCTCTCACACGAACTGACGACGAAGACGACATTGATGATAACAATGACGATGGTGACCATGATGATATGACGAAAATAACAATAATGATGACAATGATGACGATAATGACAATAATGATAACAATGATGATAATGATAACAATCATGATGATAACAATAATGATGATGACGCACTCCTGCTCACCCCCCGGCCCACAGACGTGGCTGGCGGCTACTCGGCGAGCATGCTCACCGCGGTGCGCCACGCCGTGCTCGCCGCTCACCACGTGGGTCTCGCCGCTCACCGCGACGTCAAGGACCAGACCCTGGGCTACAGGGAGGCCTTCCGTCTCGCCACGCTGGGGGGCAGCCAGGGTGAGTGGGGGGGGGGTCATTATTTTGCTCTAAGAGGGATTTTGGTTGTGGTCAAGATCGGTCTGGCAGTTAGTAGGCTTTCGCCACCAACATTATTCATAATAAGGATTTTTCCTTGAGATCGCGTAAGTATAAATGTGTCGTAACCCGACACAGCCAGGAAGGTTTGTCACGTAAACAAAGCGCGCCAATGAGTTTACTACTTCAGCCCACCGGTGTGTCGGAGAGTAAATCCACAACATTTACAATGTGTATTCTTGGTTCTTTTTGTAAAGTCACGTAGAAGGGAAACAATAAAATAATATAAAACAATAAAATTCTCACGACGTCGTGAGAATTTTATTTTTTTATATTTTTTCATTGTTTCCCTTCTACGTGGTGACTTTACCGAAAGAACCAAGAATATGAATCCCTGCAGTCACGAAAGCTTTAAATCAAAGTTTACAATGTGGTCAAGATGGCGCCCTCACTCAACCTGACCAATGTCCCCCCACCTCATCTCCGTGTCCGGGGGAAGGGGTGTGGCCTGACCAGAAATAGGCGGGGCTTAAAGAAGAAGGGGCGGGTCCTAAAAAGGAAAGGTGCAGAGCCGACAGCGGAAGAGACAAATGGGAGCTTCAGGAAGGGGTGGGGCCTAAGGGATAAGGGGGTGGGGCATAAATAGGAAGGGGCGGGGTCCACAGCAGTTGATCTTCCCTGTTAAGGCAACACACGCAAATAATCAAACAGGGACAATTAATGGGAGCAGCGCTGGCTTACACCGCGTGGCTGACGCTGCTGCTGCTGCCTTCACGCTCGCGTGTGGTGCCTGCTCGCGCCTCTGAGTCGCCCTCTCTCTACTGCACCCCCCTCCCCTTCCTTGCCTCCCCTGCAATCACCCCCGGGCCCCCCACCCCTGCAGTGCTGGGGCTGGAGGAGGTCACGGGGAACCTGGAGGTCGGCAAGGAGCTGGACGCGCTGCTCGTGGACACTGAGGCGCCCGGATCTCCCATCGACATCTTCCCCGACGACTCGTGGGAGGTGCGGGCCCACACGTTACCCTCTCGTTACCACGGTGTTACCATCGCATTATCACACACGTTGCCACATGTGTTTGTCTGTCTGCCTGCGTCTGTTGTGTCTGACTCTGTGTGTCTGTATCGTCTCCTCCATAGGACATCATCCAGAAGTTCCTATTCCTTGGTGAGTCCCTCGCCCTACCCCCCAACCCCCCTCGTCACTCTCCACATTATTACTGCAAGATTGACATAAATTGCATGCTTTTCCCAGCTTACATTATTCGAATGTATTGTTGATTTTGATTTAAAGCTTTCGTGACTGCAGGGATTCATATTCTTGGTTCTTTTGGTAAAGTTATGTAGAAGGGAAACAATAAAATAATAAAAAAATATAAAACAATAAAATTCTCGCGACGTTTCGACTGCAACACAAGCAATCGTCATCAGGTGTGAAAACCACAGCAAGGAAATTCTTGCTGTGGTTTTCACACCTGATGATGATTGCTTGTGTTGCAGTCTAAACATCGTGATAATTTTATTGTTTTATATTTTTTATTTTATTGTTGCCATTCTACGTGGTGACTTTACCGAAAGAACCAAGAATATCGTTGATTTGTTTGTCCTGGAGCTCACGCGGTGAGTGAGCTCACTCCGCAGGTTTACGTTTCAAGTTTGTGAATTCGCAGGCACAAAATAAAACCTCACGGTGACTCTTCACTACTTTTCTTTATTACACCACGTGAGGCCCCACTGAGCTATGCAGCTCGCTTTTAGAAGAGAGCTGGCTATCGCAGATAATATCTCAACGCTTATCGCGTGGACATTTATAGCAGCCAAATACTCGAAACCAGCGTTCTTCACTCAATTTTCAGAGGGGGAGGCAACTTTCACCGATGAGACATCGTCAGTGTGAGGGCCGCCACACATTTGAAACCATTGGGCGTTTGACAGCAGCACGACGCCCATGATGATGGGGATGTCGTCACGTGTTGTGCTTTGTGGGGGGGGGGTCGCACGTCAGGGGCCGCACTGAAGACCACCAGCGGCCGCAAGTGGCCCACGGTGGCCTTGCAATGACGCTCGGACCAGGACAGGTCACGGCGATGATGACCGGGACAGGTCACGGCGATGGTGACCGGGACAGGTCACGGCGATGATGACCGGTGTGGTCGAGACTAGTGACGGAGTGGCGGCCAGAGGAGGGTAAACGGGCAGGGCAGGGAGGACGTCCACCGAGGAGATGGAGCGACGAGATGACTCGTTCTCGGGGGATCACTGCTGCATCGCAGGACTTGGTGGTGGGGACCTGGGGAAGCCCTCATCCAGCAGTGGATAGGTCATGGCCGATGATAAATCACGGATTGCCACGTCAACTAGTCGATGGCCACGACTCGATGCGCGTGTCGCGAAATCGATGGTCGCGTTTTTGTTGTTGTGTTTTGAGTCTCCCAAGAATCGATGACAAATCGTTGAGAGCCCCAAATCGCAGGCGGTGGTTGTGGCGAGCGCGCGGATCCAACCCCGCTGCGTGGTCTCGGGGCGCCGCCTGGCGGTCACGCGGCGCGGGTCACGGCAGGCAGCCCGGTTCACTCAAACCTCTCTCCACACGCGCTGCTGTTACACGTGACTCGTCGTTGATGTCATCTGGGAGGTGGTGGGTCCCGGACGTAATGATCTGGCCACATTTGTGTCGGAAGAACCCACCACCACCACCCGACACAGCCACACGAATGTAATTGTGTCACGCGGTGTACAAGCGTTGGAACGACGCGCCGAATTGGTGTTTCAGCTCACCCACTCGCGCATTCACTCACCATAAACTGGCTTGCCAGGAGAAAGCGGTACACCAAGGTGTGGGGACTCCACCGGTTCCATTTGTACGGGATAGAGCGTTCCCCCCTCGCACGAGTGGGTCTTCTGCGGGTGCTCCGGTTTCCCCCCACATGTAAACACTCATTAATTGGCCAATAACACCTTGATATGGAGAGGACCGCAGAGCTTGGGCAATTGTTGGTAGCGCGGACTCCTCACCGCTTCGCGGCTGCTGCTGCTGCTGCCTCCCTGCTCGTCTTTGGTCTCCGCTCTCTTTCCGAGAGCGACCGGAATACTCTGCAGCGGCGCAGCGTCACAAGTCGCCGTCTTTGTCAATATAGGAGGGGGGGGGCGCTGCTGCGTATCTGCATCGAGGCATTTGCGTTCGCGTAGAAAACGTGGCGCGATTTCGTGGGTCGCGTGACTGTCCGGTGGGTTTGGGGATGATGCCGTGCTGGCGGGAGTCTGTGGCGCCTCTGGAATGGGATTCCCGTTGCGTGTCCAGGTGACGACAGGAACATCTTGGAGGTGTACGTGGCCGGACGGGACGTGACCCCCCGTGATGAACCCGTGACCTCCCCGTGAAGACGCACGACCGCCGGTCGACCCCCCTGTGATCACCCTCTGAAGACCCGTGACGACCCATGAGTGATTACCCGTGCCCAACTGTGACCTCCCATTAAGTCATAATCCCAAGTGATCACCCCGTGACCTCCCCGTGATCACGTGACCTCCCGTCACCGTTCTTGACTCCACGTTTGGCCCCCTTTGAGTGACTCACATCCTGACATCACACGACATCATCACAATCGGAACCACTTCCATCACCCCATTACAGACATCCTCTCACGATGACGCGTGTGTTACATTTGAAGTGTGTACGTGTGTGGGCAAGTTGCAAATGGCACATAATTAACCAGTGACCTCGGTCCCCTGCAGGCAGAATGACTCCTGGAGGTCAACAGGGTTATAAGACGGTGATTGGTCAATCCCAGGACCTTGGTAGGAATTATTTGGGCGAAGCCGCGTAGGCATCCGGCCGGATTTGTGTCGCAATGCCCTCCACCATTTGACGCAGCCTTGTGACAGAAATTCCCGCACAACGTTCACCGCGTGACCGAACCAACAAAATCAACGCTCACTGCCAAAGCCCACGAGTTCAAATTAACGTATTTGATCAACCCCCCCCCCCCTAATGAGTACAATTATATTGATAACAATGATTGTTAATTAGAAATGATGTCATTGATTTTAGTCGGGTGGGGGTGGTGGCTATGCGCGTCGGCTGTAATCCAGCACCGCGGAGGCCGCAAGGGTTGGTGGATCACCGCAAGGATGTCGCGAAACTCCTCTCTCTCATGGGCGTCGAGCTGTATCCTGGCTCGCGAGGAGGCAGCGGTGCCGCCCAACGCGGACTCCACCTGTTCCGTGCGGGATAGAGCGTTTCCCCCCTGCAGGCGTGGGGTTACTCCGTGTGCTTCGGTTTCCTCCCGCATGTTAACACTCATTAGCTGGCCAATAACTCACTAATAGAGGGCCGCAGAGCTTGGGCAGTTGCTGATATTGCTGGCTTACCGCGTGGGCTGCCTTCCCGCGCGTCTCTGGTTCCTCGTGGCACCTACTCGCCGCCCCGTCTCTCTCGACACGAGAGCGAGCGAACGCTGTGTGGTGGCGGCGCTCATTACAAGTCGACATCAAAGCGTCCTTGTTTTGGTGAAACTGGATTTGACCACCACCAAGTGAGTCGTATCCTCGGAGAAGAGTTTTCAATCAGTGCGTGCCACCCTCTGGGACAGACGGATCGAAATCGAGGGACAATGGCTGCTTATGAATTAAGATAATGCTGATGATGATAAAAGACAATGAAAAATAAAGGTGGTGGTGGTGCTATTGATGTTGTGTACAAACTTGACTCCGTCAATAGACCTCACGAAAATCCTGCTTAGACCCGAGCTGTGAATGTTCACAGCTCAGCTCAGTCTGAAAACGCACGCGGTGAGACCATGTGAACGAGACGGAGAGGCCGTGAACGAGACGGAGAGGCCGTGAACGAGACGGAGAGGCCGTGAACGAGACGGAGAGGCCGTGAACGAGACGGAGAGGCCGTGAACGAGACGGAGAGGCCGTGAACGAGACGGAGAGGCCGTGAACGAGACCGAGAGGCCGTGAACGAGACCGAGAGGCCGTGAACGAGACCGAGAGGCCGTGCCCACTGTGTGACGCCGCGCCGTAATGATGTCTGCGTGCCACCAAACAAAATTCACACGGAAGCCCACAACCGCACGGACTCGTACAGCCACTGCACGCACGCGGCACCTCCGGCCACGTCTCGCTTTATTTCTCCGGACATTGCCGTCAACGTCAATCAACAAGCGTTCAGGAATTATTATAAATGTGAATATTATTACATTTTAAAACCAATGACAGGAGCTCGTAACCTCAGCTGGAGGTGAACCATCGTCACCGCCTGGGGTGTAAACCATCGTCACCGCCTGGGGTGTAAACCATCGTCACCGCCTGGGGTGTAAACCATCGTCACCGCCTGGGGTGTAACCATCGTCACTTGGGGTGTAAACCATCGTCACCGCCTGGGGTGTAAACCATCGTCACCTGGGGTGTAACCATCGTCACCGCCTGGGGTGTAAACCATCGTCACCTGGGGTGTAAACCATCGTCACCTGGGGTGTAACCATCGTCACCGCCTGGGGTGTAACCATCGTCACCGCCTGGGGTGTAAACCATCGTCACCGCCTGGGGTGTAACCATCGTCACCGCCTCGGGTGTAACCATCGTCACCTGGGGTGTAACCATCGTCACCTGGGGTGTAACCATCGTCACCTCCTGGGGTGTAACCATCGTCACCTCCTGGGCTGTAACCATCGTCACCGCCTGGGGTGTAAACCATCGTCACCGCCTGGGGTGTAAACCATCGTCACCATCGGTGACGTGAAGCGAGGAATGCGGCGCGGCTGTCGGCCGCGGTCACTGCAGAGGTTTGCGGTTCGGTTCCGGCGGGCCGCCCCCGGTGATCACCACGACCGCGGCTGCGTCGTTAACGATCCCTGCTTCACTCGCGTGCCGCCGTCACCACGTGACTCGACCGGCATCACAGAGCAGCAACAACAACATCGCCCCCCCCCCCGACTGCGAAGCGACCGCGCGCGCTGTTTGCAGAACACGGCACGAGAAGAACGGTCGCGCGGTAGTCATCGGCTCAAGGTCAAGAGGTCATCAAAGCCCCCAGTGCACGTGGAGGACTACCGACAGCCGTCCTCAACAACTCGCAATCAACTTACTAACGGGCGGACAGTATACAAGTCGCTAGCGGATACCCGGACAACGTAAAGAACGACGCAGAGAATGTAAAACCCTCCCCAACGCTACACTAACAACAATACAGTAGAGGCTGTGCGGCCATTTGTGCAAAAGATCAACGCTCACCTGAGTGACGGCGATACCCGGGATAGCCCCAGGCGCCTCGCCACCCCCCCCCCCCCCCAGCACGCAGGGGCCCCGGCGTCAGACGTCAAACAGCCGCGTCGCACGGCTGCCGAGTGTCCCCGTGTGGCCGGGACAGCCCCCCGCTGTGTGTGCCAGGTAAGCCCCTTCCTCCTCCTCATGTCTCTCACGAAGAGTTCATGACAATCCCCGATCTTGTCGCCGGTTTAACAAAAACAATTAAAAATCGTGCACAGCGCACGATGCGGGCAGTGGGCGGGGCTACCTGAGCAGTGGGCGGAGCTACCTGAGCAGTGGGCCGGGCTACCCGGGCAGTGGGCGGAGCTACCCGAGCAGTGGGCCGGGCTACCGGAGCTGTGGGCGGAGCTAGCCGATACGTGGGCGGAGCTACCTGAGCAGTGGGCGGGGCTACCTGCGCTGTGTGCGAGGCGGGGCTGATGGGGGGTGGGGGTGAAGGCTGCCAGCTCCTCACCCACGTGCCCTGGTTGACATTTGGTAATGGTCGATGCCAGATCTGTGCCAGTCTCGAGGTTGTTTCTTCTCTCTCGGTGCTGACTGGCGTCTGAATTTTTCTCGATTAACCGCGCCACAATTATTTATTTATATTTTGTTGCAAACTTTTTATTTCTTTCAAGGAGCGGTGAAAGTGTGGGGGGGAAGGGACATCTGCGAGGGGCCCCAGTTAGCTGCCCCCCCCCCCGGTTCTTAACGAGCGGTAACTCGTTAATTCAACGTTAACTCAGCGAATAATTAATTGTAAACGATCGACGACGACGACGAGGAGGCGCTCCTTTTGGAAGAGTTCACCTTGCGCCAAAGAGCAGGCGCTCCCACGGATTTCTAAGGTCACGCGGATTTCAAAGATCACTTACGCGGATTTCAAAGATCACTTGCGCGGATTTCAAGGGTCACTTGCGCGGATTTCAAGGGTCACTTACGCGGATTTCCAATGGCTCATATAGCAGTAACGACCGACGAGGCGACGTAAACATGAGACAAGCACGCACACGCGCGTACGCACACACACACGCACACACACACGTGTACACACGCACACACACACGTGTACACACGCACACACACGCGTACACACGCACACACACGCGTACACACACGCGTACACACGCGCGTACACACACGCGTACACACGCAGACACGCGTACACACGCACACACACACACGTGTGTACACACGCGCATACACACGTGTGTACACACGCGCACACACACACACGTGTGTACACACGCGCACACACACACACACGTGTGTACACACGCGCACACACACACGTACACACGCGCACACACACACGTACACACGCGCACACACACACGTACACACGCGCACACACACACGTACACACGCGCACACACACACGTGTGTACACACACGCGCACACACACACACGCGTGTACACACGCGCACACACACACGTACACACGCGCACACACACACGTGTACACACGCACACACACGCACACACACGCACACACACACGCACACACACACGCGTACACACGCACACACACACGCACACATACGCACACACACACGCATACATACGCACACACACACGCGTACACACGCACGCACACGTGCATGGGTGCACAGAGGACACGCGTACTCACCACGCACCTACTAGTACTCACAGGTGCACATGCACAACAAGCACATCTGATCGTGCCTGGGCTATTGTCTTGAACAAGTCCCCACCTCACCACCACAATCCCTCACTCACCTACTCACCACCCACCGCCATGCACACTCACCTACACTCACCCACCGCCATGCACACTCACCTACACTCACCGCCATTCATTCACGCAACAAAGATCCCCTCCGTACAGCCTTTAACAGACTGTTGGGGAAAGTGCTGTTAACAAGCACCTATGAAGGCCAACACCACGCCCGGCCGCCTTTGTCTCCCCAGTGGTGAGGTTTACACACCACACCAGGTACTCATTTGAGGCTGAGTTGACCTAAGCGAGGCCCAGGACCGGTTCAGATTCTCGTCACCGGTGTTGGTGGCCGTGGGCGGGAATCGAAGCCGGGTCGCCGGGTTCGTAGCGCAGCGCGCTAACCGCTACGCCACCGCTCCCCGCTGACACACTCACACACTCACACACTCATCCACACTCATCCACACTCATCCACACTCATCCACACTCATCCACACTCACACACTCATCCACACTCATCCACACTCATCCACACTCATCCACACTCATCCACACTCATCCACACTCACACACTCATCCACACTCACACACACTCATCCACACTCATCCACACTCATCCACACTCACACACTCATCCACACTCATCCACACTCATCCACACTCATCCACACACACACACACTCATCCACACTCATCCACACTCATCCACACTCACACACACTCACACACTCACACACTCATCCACACTCATCCACACTCACACACTCATCCACACTCATCCACACTCACACACTCATCCACACTCATCCACACTCACACACTCATCCACACTCACACACTCATCCACACTCATCCACACTCATCCACACTCATCCACACTCATCCACACTCATCCACACTCATCCACACTCACTCACCGACACTCACCCCGCCCCCTGACCCCCCCCCACCAGTGCAAGACGGAGAGAGTCGCGTCAACCCCAGTCCTGACGGCAACCACGAACCCCAGCGCCACCGGGCCGCCGTCCACCTCGCCCGGGCCCCAGGGCGGCCTCAACGCCGTCGCCCACCACTCACCCCGGCCGGTGGGGGGGGGGGGGGGATCCGACCCCGACCCCCAACGCCCGGGGTCGCTCGGGGTCGTCGCTCATGGCGACGACCCCCAACGCTCGGGGTCGTCGCTCACGGCGACGCGTCAATGCGGAGGAGATTCACGGCCCGGGAGATTTCTGCGGGGTCCGGCGCCGCGAGGTACTGAGCGCACAGCCAGTCCTCCAGCGTCACCCCTCCTCGTCTTCCGCCGTCGCCCGCCCCGGCCTCCAGCGACCGCTCGGCGAACCTGACCATGAGCAGGGCCCGCTTCACGTCGAGCCAGTTCTGCAGCGGCTCGGCCCGGAGCGCGGGTCGGCCGCTCCCGCCGGCGCGAGGCGGCGGGGGGGCCGGGGGACCGCCCCCGGCCATGAGCCGCACCGCGTCGGCGCGGGGCCCCCACAGGAGGCACTGCAGCGCCGCGCGAGCGTCGCGCAGCGCCGCGGCGCGACGGCCGCGGCGCGTCGCCAGGAATCGCGCCAGCCGCTGCAGGCCCGCCGAGTACAGCGACAGCGGCGGGAAGGGCGGCAGCTCCTCGCTCTCCCCGCTCCTCCTCTTCCTCGTCGTCGCCGCCGCCGTCCCCTCGCGGCGGCTCGGGCCGGCGCGCGCGAAGGCGGTCGGCCAGCGTGGGGTCGTCGCTGAAGGGGTCGGGCAGGTGGGCGAGGTGGTAGGCCAGCAGGCCCAGGTGGAACGCATCCGACTCGCCCCGGTGAGAGTGCCCGCTCGCGTCCTCCCCCTCGCCCGCCTCGTCGTGATCCTCCTCGTCCTCGGTGACGACGAGCAGCCTCTGCAGCTCGAGGTCGGCGTCGGAGGCCGCGGCGTCGGAGGCCGCGGCGTCGGAGGCCGCGGCGGCGACGGCGGCGGCGGCCTCGGGCCTGGGCGCGGCGAGGTAGAGCCTGTGCGGCCGCAGGGCCCGGGCCCCGGCGCTGCGGCCGTGCGCCTGCAGGTGCTCGAGCGCCGCCGCGAGCTGCAGCAGCAGGAGGCACGCGAGGCGCTCGTAGCGCTCGGGCTCGGCGCGGTGCAGCGACACGGTGGAGCGCACCAGCGCCGAGAGCGGGCGGCGCGGCACGTCCGGGACGACGCTCACGGCGCGGAGCAGCGCCGCGGGGGCGCCGGGGGTGGGGGGGAGGGGGGCGACCGGCCCCGGAGCGGCGGGGAGTGGCGGCGGGCCGAGGTGCGAGGGGACGAACATGGCCACGGGAGGCCCCGTGCGGAGGACGTTGAAGTGGGGGGGCGGGCGACGGGTGGAGGAGGGGCACGGGTCCGCCTGGTGGGGGGTCCGCGGCCGCAGTGAGACCTGTGCGGGGAAGAGGGTGCAGGTAGCGGGGGGGGAGGGAGCAGAGGAGTGATGGCCACTTGTAAGCACTGGACTTCTGTGAAAAAGAGCTTTATAGCTCATCAGATTTCTCCAGCACTAGTATTCTGATTCTGAAGCACCGATTTGGCAAAAACAAATCGGCAACAATGTGACCGGCATTGGCGATGGTGCCACAGGAATGCAGCGACGCCGCTGTGGAGACGCGGCCCAGCGCTAGCACTGCGTTCGCCGCTCGTTGCAGAGGTTCGCGGTTCGATTCCGGCGGGCCGCCCCAGTTAATACTGCGCGTGTTTCAATTGCGATAATATTACTACTATACGCCACCTGCTTCACTTCACAGTGGACGTTGAAGATCCCGTGACGACCTTCGCAAGAGCAGGCTGGCGTCACGGTCCAAATTAGCCAAAATTACTCAATCAATCATCACCCTCCCCCTACTGCTCAAAGGCCAGATTTTGGGTCACCGTGTGCTGCACAGGGACAGCTGCCACGAGGGGTGCCCTTTTAAAAGATGTCGAGCTGAGATGCGATGATGTAAGTCGCCTATGGCGTGTAAACTTATCTCCGAGACACCGATCGATGTGCTTTGGGATAGAGGGTGGCGCCTCTTTTCAAAGCACATCGGTGTCGTCATCATCATCATCATCGTCGTCGTCGTCGTTATCACAGCGCCATCACGGCGCCGTCACCAACCTTGAGTGCGCATGTGGGCCCCGGCGGGCCCCGTCTCCGCGTCGCCACGTAGAAGACGGCGCCGGGCAGCGCGCAGCACGGGCGTGGCGACAGCAGCGTGAAATCGCTCCACGCCGCTCCCTCCCCGGCGGCTCCGTCTCCTCCGGCCCCTCCCTCCTCGGGCGGCGCCGGCAGAGCGAAGAGCCGGTGACAGCGAGCGGTGAGCGAGCGGAGGGCGTCGGCGTGGAGCCAGCGGATCCTCGCCGCCACGCCCACGCTGTCCTCCACGCCCTCCAGCAGCGTCGGCCGCCACCCGAGGGTCGTCGGCACGGCCGCCGCCGCCGCCGCCGCCATCCTGTCCGGTTTGCCGTGACGAAGCGGCTTCTGCGGCAGCGAGCGGGCCGACGAGGTCGCCGACGACGACGACGACGACCACGGTGGCGACGGCGAAGACGCGGAGGACGAAGGAGAAGCCGGCGTCGTCGCCGTCGCCGCACGGCCCACCGCGTCCCGGCGGGCCCGCTCCGGCGGGCCGGGCCTCGCCGGGCCGTCGGGGAGCCGCACGGCCGGATCGGCCGATTTCTTGGCCGGCGGCGGCCTCGGCGCCGGCTGCTGCGGCGGCGCCGGTGGCGGCGGGGGCAGGGGAGGCGGCGTCGTTGGGGGCGGAGGGGGGGCCGGGCCGTACGCGGGCGCCGGAGGCACGGGCGGCGGCGGTAACGAGGGAGAGGCGGGCCAAGCCGGGGCCGGCAGGGCCGGCAGGGCCGGCAGGGACGGCAGGGACGGCAGGGACGGCAGCTCCCGGCAGGCCTTGGAGGCGGGCGGGGCCCACCGGAAGGCGTCGGAGGAGGGAGGGGGGGGCCACGCCGCGCCGGCCGGGGGGTTCGGCGTGGGGGCCGCCGAGTTGGCGGCGGAGCGGGGGGAGCAGGGGAGGGAGGGGGCGTCCCTGGGCCCCCCCGTGCGCGTGGCCCGCGGTTGCTTCGCGGGGGCCATGCTGGCTCGACCCTCACCTGCCGCGCGCCATCGCACACACGGTCATCGACGTCACCGTCAACATCATCGCCGTCGTCATCTCTGTTAAAAAAGGATAATCCTCGCCGACGACGCGGATGTAACGTTCATCGTGCACGTCGTCATCACCATGACCGTCACGTTCAGAATTCTCATGAACATCGTCGCCACCACCATCATCATCACGACCATCCTCGTCACGATCATCACTCGTAGGGCGGGGCTGGGGGGGGGGCAGCACGACACAGCCAGCGAACTCTCGAGACGAGCGTCGGCCGCTAGGCAGGACGAGTGACGGAGGAATCCGCCTCTGGAGGGCGCCACCCGGCTCTGGCCGTGCCCTCGCCCTCCCTGTGCGCGAGGCAAGGATGCGACGGCCGTAGCTCAGATCAATTTAGAAGGGAGGGGCCGAGCCTTCAGCACCCCTCCGGCCACTTTTAACCCTACGGATGCCTTGCCATCATCTTCAGCATCATCATCGTCGTCGTCACCGACACACTGCGACAAAGATCTCCCGTATCGCCCCAACAGCCTGTCTCCACAGTGGCGATGTTTACACACCGCACCAGGTACTCATTTGAGGCAGAGTCGACCTAGGAGAGGCCCATGACCGAGAATCGAACTGGGGTCGCTGGGTTCGTAGCGCAGCGCGCTAATCGCTACACTACCGCTCCCCACGTGCGTCCACACGTTCACACGGCCCCTCGTGAAGCGCTCACGCCTTAGCCGCGATCGCCGTACCCATGTTCCCGTAGACAAAATCCTGCGAGGACACGGGGCTCGTGGCCTCACCGGGGGGCCCGCGGGTCGTTCCGGGGGGCCCGGAGGTCGCGCCGGGGGAGAGCGGCGGCACGGAGAGGGGGGGCGCGGGGGGCCGCGCCGCCGCCCCTGCGATCGTCGGCTCGGGGCGATCGGGACCCTTGCGCTCGGGGTGTCTGGTGAGAAGCAGGAGGGAGGTGGGCACAAAGGGGCAGGGTGCGGAGGAAAGAGCGTCGTGTGAGAGAGGTACGGGTTTCATCGTGGCAGCCGTGGTCAGAGTTGGCCATCGTCAGGGGACTGCATCGTATTTCAACACGTTAGAAAGGGGCGCCCCCGGTGGCAGATGTCCCTGTGCGGCACGAGTTGACTTGGCACCAAAGGGGGGGGGAGGGTGGGGGACGATGGCTGCTGCGTGCGTAATCCCAACTTAGTAATTTGCGGTGTGATTTTTCATATTCGGACCGTGACGCTGGCACGCGACGGCCTAGTCTTGCGAACGACGTCACGGGATCTTTACCGTCCACTGTGAGTGAAGCAGACGGCGCGGAGTGATATTTTCAAGCTTAATACGGTAAACACACAGACCACCGCGGCGCGAGCCAGGGCGGGCCGCCGGATTCGAACCGCGAATCTCTGCGCCGAGCGGCGAACAAGGCCGCCACTTGGGCCACGCCACCGCCCCAACCGCCGCCCTCGCCGGGGCTCTCACCCAGCGCCGTGAAGCTGCGAAGAGCTGTTGGGAGACAGGGGCACGGAGCGAGTCCGGTGCAGCGACATCTGTGGCGCGTGGCGCTCGGGTGCAGCTGGGACCGGACTGTAAGCCGGATCCGGGTCCTCCTGCAGCGGCGAGCAGGGAGTCGGGCGAGCGGGAGTCCAGGCCCGGCCAGGGCCGCTCCGCTCCGGGTGTTCGGGTGGACCGGATGAGTGGAGCCTCTCCACAGAGCGAGACAGGCCCAGGCGGCCAGACTTCACCTGGGGGTGACAGGACAAAGGGCAAAGATCCCCCGTGTAGCCTCAGCAGAACGTTGGTGCAAGTGGTGTTAGCGAGGACCGATGAAGGCCCGCACGGCACACGAGGTGGGGGGTGAGTGGCCAACACCACGGGTCACCGGGTTCGAAGCGCAGCGCGCTAACCGCTACACTACCGCCCCCCCTGGGGGTGACGCACACGTGCGCTAGGACACACACGGAGGCGTACACACACAGACACAGGTGCACAGATACGCCGAGCACCACACGACGCGTATTACCGTTCAATTTACCTGGCCGTATTTACTGGGGTGGCCGCTGGGCTCGAACCGCAAATGATCTAAAACAAGGCTCTGCTGTGTGGCCACATGCCATCACAATGCCGTCACCTCGGCAAACACAACCACAACAGCAACCGTTGTAATTACCATGCCGATCTTCCACCGGGGTGGCGGTGGCGGGGAAGATGAAGTTTCTCCGTCGGCCCCCGCCGAGCCGGCCGCCTCCTCACCGCGCCGGCCCCACCGGAACAGCCCCCGGAACGAGTGCCAGCGCTTGGGCCTCGCTCGCTGCTCCGAGCCGTCTTCATCCTTCGGCGGTGCCGGCGCAGCCGCCAGGGTGGCGGCGGTGGCGGCGCTGACGGTAGCGCCCCTCGGCGGCTGGGTGTCCGTCGCCGCCGCCACCAGCCGGCCGTCGCGGCCCCCGTCGCCTTGCTCTTGCCGCGTCCTCGCCCCGTGAGCTTACGCTGCAGCTGGGCCCCGAGCCCCCCGAGCTGGAGGCCGTGGCTCCTGGGGGGCGGCTGAGCCGGCTCGTCCTCCGGCACGTCTGGCTGCTCAAGGGGCGGCCTGCTGCCAACCCCGGCGGCGGCCCCGGCGGCGGCCACGGCGGCGACCCCGGCGGTGACCCCCGGCGGTGACCCCGGCGGTGACCCCGGCGAGCGGTCTGCGCGGAGGCAGCTGCCCCCTCGCGAAGACGGGTGGCGGTCGCGACGTCTCGTGGCGCCGGTGGCGTTGGGACGCGGCGCCGCGGGAGGGGTCGCCATCGGCGAGGGGCAGCGTGGGGGCGGCGGGGTAGCTGTGGCACGACGAGAGGAGGTCGTAGGCCCCCTCTTCGTCCCCGTCCTCACCGACTCGGTTGAAGAAGACCTCCCCGGACGGCGACGCCAGCTCTCCGTGCGCTGCCGACTTGGAGAAAATTACGGCACCGGCGCCGATCGCCCAGCCGGGACCACCGCCGCTGCTGGTGCTGCCGTGGCTGCTGCCGGTGCTGGTGCCGGTCGCGGATGCGTCTCCTCTGGGTGGCCCGGGACACGCGGGGTGTCTGGTGGGAGACTTGAGGTGGCCGGGTCGGGTCAGGCCGGACGCGTTCGTCAGCGCCGAAGATGTGGGCCCCGGGGACCGATCGGTCGCCGCCGCCGGCTCGCCGGGCCGGTAGATGTCGGCGACGGCCTTGCGGCTCGCCTGCCGCACCTCCGCTGGTTTCTGCAGCGAGGCCTCACGGAACTCCCCGTCCCGCGGCGGCGCCGGCAGCAGCGCAACCTCATCGACGTCCTCCATCTGCAGCGTCTCGCCCGTGCGGTAGAAGTCCGCCACGGGCATCGCCCGGCCACCGCCGCCGGTAACGTCGGCGCCGTCCGTGTCGTCGTCGCCTCCGTTGCCGCCGCCGTCCTCGACGCTGCAGTGGTCGGCGTCCGTTCCTCTCCCAGCCGAGCGGGGGTCGTCGGGGAGGAGCAGGAGGAGGGGATGGGGGCGAGGGGGGCCGCCGCCGCCGCCGCCAGGGCCCGGCAGCGGCCACCCGGAGACGTCCTCGCCGCCGGACAGGTCACCGAGCGAGCTCGAAGTGGTGGACAGGAACTCGACGTCGTCGGAGACGCAGCTGGAGAGGCGCGCGGCGAGGGCCGCGGCGGGGGCCGCGCCGCGGCCTCCGCCGCCGTCCGCCGCCCGCGACCTCGGCCACGGCGCCGCGGGGAGCTCGAGGCGGTCGAGGGACTCGACGGCCACGCCGCTGTCGCGGCTGCACTGCGCCGTCAGCACGCCGCCACCGCCGGCTCCCCAGGCCTCGCCGGCCCCATCGCCGCCGCCGCCGACCCCGCCGAGCGGGCCGTGCGACTCGGCCGATCGCTGCTTGCGGTCCGTGTCGTTTCGCGCCGGATGTCCGCGGTCGGCCCCGGCGGCGGTCGCGAGGCCGGACGGCGCGACGGCGCCCGGCGCCGAGCCACGGCGCTTCCCGTTGGGCGTGGCGCCGGCGGTGCCCTCGTCGCTATCCTCGCCCGTCGTCGTCGTCGTTGTTGTTCTGGGCCGGGACGCGTGCCGGGGACGACAGCGGGGATGGGGACGCCGGCGGCGGCGGAGAGACGGGGGACGGCCGAAGACCCAGCGAGACCCCACCGGGACTCGGAGGGGTCCACAGTTCAGCCGCCGGCTTCCTGGGCAGCGGCGGCTTCACCCCAGGGGGGGCGCTTACCCCGCTCGCCGGAGCCCCCCGTCCCCGAACCCCCGTTCTCCATCGAGGGGGTCCCAGCCTGCATGCGTGGGGGGGGGTAGCAACTGTGACCGGCCGGGTGGATGCGGGGAAGCGGACGAGCTGATCTGGCTTCCGTGCTGGGCCACCGCCCGGGTGGCCTCGACCTCCCCCCCCTAGGTCGACTTAAATGAGCACCTGGTGCGGTGTGTAAACATCGGCACCGGGGAGACAAAGGCGGCCAAGCGTGGTGGTGCTGTGTGTATGCGAGTCTCTGTGTGCGTGTATGTGTATCCACTTATGGTGAGCGGTATGGTGAGCAGTAGTGTAGCGGTCAGCGCGCTGCGCTACGTAGCCGGCGACCAGAGTTCGATTCCCGCTCACGGCCAACACCGGTGACGATTATCTGAACCGGTCCTGGGCCTCCCCGAGGTCGACTCAGCCTGGCCTTCATAGGTGCTGCTACTCGCTAACAGCACTTTCCCCAAGAGTCTGTTAAGGCTATTCGGGGGATCTTTTTCTTTGTCTTGTGTGAACGGGTGAAGCGAGTCAGTGAGTGAGAGGCACGCACTAACGCACACATACATCAACTACGGCCACCATTCGCCACCAAGTGGCAGTGATGTCACCACAGCGCTTGTGCCAGGCTAGGTGCACTTTGAGGCCACGTGAAGTGTGGAGGACTCGCTGCTGGCAAGGTAACACGGTATGGTACAGACCCGGGTGGTTACAGGTTGGCCGACTGAGATGACTGCCAGATACACCACCTGTGCTCCCTACTGTGCAGTTTAGCATTGCATACAATCACAAACGTACACACAGGCACACAACACACACCCTGTGCACCCCCGCCCTCCGCCTCCCCCATACCAACTCCCCTAGCATCCTCCGGTGAGCACGGTTGGCTACGAACGGCACGAAGGAAATTCAACAAACACACATACATGTTCATAATAAAGGTTTTTGGGTTAGATCGCGTTATTTATAAATGTGTCGTAACCCTCCACCACCCGACACGGCCAATCAGCAAAATAAAGTGTCACGTTGACAAAAGACAATTAGTTCACTACTTTAGCCCACCGGTGTGTTGAAGAGTGAATCCACAACATTTACAGTTTGAATACGACGTTTCGCTGGTAATTACATCCAGCATCATCGGGCAATTTGCCAGGATGGTAAAGCCCTCACTTGCTCTCGGTCTTAAATAGAGCAGCAGGGTGACATCATCAATTAACTCATTTCAGGTGCAGTGATTTGAGGCGGAGCGGGGTTATTGTAATTATATAATCGATTGGTAATCAGTCAATGGTTATGATTAGTAATGAGTTGTAGATTAGTAATTAGTTGTAATGTGTGTTATTGTGATTATATGCACATTAGTAATCCGTTAATTAATATGTGTTTCCCCTATAAGGATTGTAATATGTATTATTTAATAATACGCTTCCAAGCCGCACTAAGCCTATAGCTATCAGAACGATTAAAGTTATTTCTGTTTCTCTCAATTTCAATGGATTCTCCAATTAGTCTTTGCCAGTAATAATTAGTTTTACACAACACTTCAACGTTATCAAAATCAATTGAGTGTCCTTGGTGACAAGCATGTTCTGCCACTGCCGACAGTTGTGTTTGAGATAATTTAATATTTCTCTGATGTTCTTTTAGTCTTATGCTGATGTTACGTCCCGTCTGTCCAATATAGCATCTGCCACATAAACAATTAATCCGATATACACCTGTTGATAATTTAGGTAATTCGTCTTTCGTGCAAGATACTAGTTTTTGAATTTTGTGTACTGTACCAAATCTAGCGAAACGTCGTATTCAAACTGTAAATGTTGTGGATTCACTCTTCAACACACCGGTGGGCTAAAGTAGTGAACTAATTGTCTTTTGTCAACGTGACACTTTATTTTGCTGATTGGCCGTGTCGGATGGTGGAGGGTTACGACACATTTAGAAATAACGCGATCTAACCCAAAAACCTTTATTATGAATAATATTGGTCGCGAAAGCCTACATGTTAAACTGACACATACATGTTGCTACTGCTGTTGCTACTCTTCCCAATACTCCTGCGACTCACCTGCTTCTGCTGCTGCGCTGCTGTTGTTGTTGCTGCTGCTGCTGCTGCTGCTTCGTGCATCGCGCGGGGCTTGAAGCAGCTGCTGCACTTGGAGGGCCTCCAGGTCTGCGGGGTGAACTCTGGGCAGGCGCCGCTCATCCCTCACGCCCGCCCGCTCGCTCGCGCCGCTGCCGCACCGCCTCCCCCACGCCGGCGCCGCGGCCACCGCCAGCTCATCACCACGCGGCGGCGGCGGCGTGGTGGTGGTGGCAGCGGTGTTGTGGCTCAGGAACGAATGCCTCTCTCCCTGCGGTCCGCTGCATTCACCACCGACAACAGCAGAATTGACATCAGCACCACCGACAAGATAACGATCATCATCCTCGTCACGATTCCGCTCGTTTACCCAGGAAAGCCTCTCGCCAATTCCTGCGGACTCATTTCCGTGCGGCGGTGGCGGCGGCCGTGCTGCCGTACGAGGCTGCCTGTACTCCAGCACCATGTGGAGGCAGCAGCGAGGGTTGGTGGATTGCACACAGATGCCGTGAAACTCCCTTCTCCCGTGGGCGTCGAGGAGGAGCCGTACCCTGGCTCGCCAGGAGGAGGAGGTACAGCAAAAATGTGGGCTCCGGCTGTCCCGTCCGTACTGGATCGAGTGTTTCCCCCTCGCTCTCAAGCGTGGGTTCTCTCCGGGCGCTCCAGTTTTCCTCCCACACGTAAACACTCACTCATTTGGCCGACAACACCTCAACGTGGGCAAATGTTGGTCACGCCGGCTCACTGCCGAGCGGCTGCTGCTGCCTTCCCGCCCGTCCGCGGCGGTTTCCTCCTCCTCCGGGCGCCTCCCGAGTCGTCGTCTCTCTCGCCACGAGAACAACGAGCGGACGCCGTGCGGCGGTGGTGCACAGTTTCATGTTGACGTTTTTATTATTTTAATTATTGTCCTGATTTCAGGTGGCTCCTGCCGAGTTCCCGCAGTAGGGG